CAGGAGTTGGCTTGCTTGTACCTCGGTGGACGGGGAAGCAGAGAGCTTGCCAGAACTTGGGCCAATTTGGAACTCTTGAGCCCCACCCCTATGGCCCTATTCCTGCTACACATAGCAATGCTATCAGCAGAGGCAGCTCATCCTCAGACATAACTGTGGGCAAAGCCTGATGACCTGAGTTTATCCCCAGAACCCACATGGTGGAAGGAGAGAACCAACTCCCACACACTGTTCTTTACACGTGTGCCATGGTATGCATACACCTGCTTGCATGTTCATGTTCTCTCTCCCTCTTGTCCTCTCCCCCATTCCTCTTTTTCCCTCTGTCTCTCCCTCAATAAATAAATGTAAAGATAACCTTTACATTTATAAAGATAACCATGATTCATTCTCTATTTATTTAAAATTGTGTGTGCCAGGGGTATATGGGTACACATGTCAGTGTGCATGTGGATATCAGGACAGTTTTGTGAAGTTGACTTTTTCCTTCCACCTTTTCGTGGCTCCCAGGGTTTGAAACTAGGTTACCAGGCTTGTGCAGCAGCCCCTTGACCCACTGAGCCATCTCACTGTGGAAAATGCAAGATTCTAAGAAGGAGGTGTGAGTGGCATTCAGGTCTCCTTCCCGAAGCTGGTCCTCTAATCAAGTGTGCGTTGTTTCTTGTTCAGCCTCATCCGTTTGTCATCATTGTCTTCACATGGAACCCCTGTCATAATATCCGCTGTTATTAGTGTCCTTGTTGTAGCTCAGGAAATGTTCCTGGAATCCTGGCTTAGCAGAACAGCTTCTGCTGTCTTCATAGTAAAGTGTAGCGATGAGCCAGATCAGAACAGTTTACAGATACCGGCTCAGTAAGAGGGGTGAAGACCTTTGTAAGGAGATTGAGAAAACACAGTGTGCTGTCAATGCTTTAAGCATAGCTGAGCAGATGGAGGGCTCTGTGTGACTCATCAAACAGTTTCTGCTTACCAGATTTTGCAAAAAGTTTTGTTTGAAAAATCATTTTGTTATTATTTTCTTTCTTTGTGTAGCCCTGGCTGTCCTGGAACTTACTCTGTAGACCAGGCTGGCCTCAAACTCATAGAAATCTGCCTCCCAAGTGCTGGGATTAAAGGTTTATGCCACCATGCCCAGCTCTCCCAGACTCTTTCACAGTCCTCCAAAAGTCATTTGGACATTTACATCTAAAATAACATGATTCATTCCCTACATAACTATCTATTAATTTTAAAAGCATGTATACCATCATTCCTGGTTTATCTCCTTAACACTATAAATGCTGAAACTGCTTTCAAAGTGCTTTGCCCCAGGCTGGAGCAATAGCTCAGTGGTTAAGAGCACTGACTGCTCTCCTGGAGGACCCAAGTTTGATTCCCATCAACGCAGAATTGTCTGCAACTTCAGTTCCAGGAGTTATGAGTCTTCTGGCCTCCACAAGCTCCAGGCACACATATGGTACACAGACATATATGTAGGCAAAATACTTATACATGGCAAAGGAAAAATAAGTAAATTGGGAGAAAAAAAAAGACAAATTTTTTTCTTGTAAGTGCTATGTTCCATATTCCAGGAAAGGTTAGTTAGGGAGGCCAAGAAGATGTCCACACAGAGTCTCAGAAGTCCTATGTCATAGGTGTAGAGCAGGAGTTTTTCCCTTTTCTTCTCATGAATTGCAGGAGAAAATAGACTCCCCAAAAGAGTGGTCAGTGGCATGTTTGTTTGATGTTTTTTATTGGTGTGTTATTTAGGTATCTGTTATAGCATGTCACATAACAGAGAGAACACAAACAGTTCATCAGTGCTGATAGAGTAACTCCCCTGGGGAAGAGTGTTACAGCCCACTGAAATACGTGATTTTAAGGAGAAAATACGTAGAACAGCTATTGTAGCTCTGGGTACAGGTTAACATCCACCTAAGGAGTTTTACATTTGCAGTTTCTTTCAAAGAATTGAGAACCACAAGGGTAAAAATCAGAGTAGAAGCAGGCACCTCTTAACCTAAATAAGCTCCGCGAATAAGCACCGCGCCATCCATGGATGAGTCTCAGGTAGTGAAAGCCAGAAGAGTAGGCCACAGAGTGATACATAAGGTAGGATGCAGGAATGCATGGGTGCAAAACTAAGGAATAAAGCAAGTGATTCAGTGAAAACATCAGAGAATCCGCGTCTCCTTTGGGGAGGACAGGCTTGAGATCTGGGAGACACGGCTCCCTCCTGGGGTATGGTGCTATTCTTCAGCAGAGTTATGTGCTGTGTTTATCATTTTGTGAATCACGTTCATACCACTTTCTCATGAGTTTCTAAGTAAAACATTTCTTCAGCTGACTATAAAAATTAAATTTTACTGTCCTGGGCCGCTGAGATGTCTCAGTGTTGGTAAAGGCACTTGCAGCCAAGCCTAACAACCTGAGTTCAGTTCCTGGAACCCACATAGGGTAAGAGAGGACAGACTTGCCGGAAGCTGTTATCTGGCCTGCACTCTTGAGCACACATCCCACAAGAGAGAGCAGTTTAAAACAAAAACAAGAAGAATGAAGTGTTGGGTTTAGTGGGTATTTCTTACAGTTTTGAATGAATGGTATATAAATACTCTTGAATTTTGTAATCAGCCTTTCTGGCCTTCTCTTAAATTACTCTTGTTACATTGAGAGCATGTTAAGCTTCTAATTGATGTAGAAAAAAATAACAGCTTTACAGGATGGGCTTTTCCATTGGTTCAACTCTGCACATAAGTCATGTTTTAAACTTGTCTTCCTATATATAATTAAAAGAACCTTTTTCTTTTGTTGGGTTTTTTAATTGTTTTTTGCATTTTTGAGATATGGGGTCTTATTGTATAACCTTAAATTTATAATCCTGCCTCAGCCTCCCAGGTTGCTGGGTTTGAAGGTAGGGTGGGTGTGTGTGTGTGTGTGTGTGTGTGTGTGTGTGTGTGTGTGTGTACATACATATGCATACACACACAAACCCCTGTGGGAGGAGACAGCTAACTCCAAAACGTTGTCTTCTCACCTCCACACAAGCACACAAACATACAACAAATAAAATGCAATTTAAATTAATCTTTTTAAATGCACTGAAAACCTTTCTTGCTGGTTTTTCTTTCCACTGACCATTGTTGACACTGGTTTGTGAGGGGTAAATACAGTTATTGGTTGGTGGTGGCTTGGTGGTGGTCCTCTGTCATGTTCCATTATGTAAGAATAAACCAGTCTTCTGTGTTCTTATGGGAAAGCAGTAGTTTTAAGCTACATCCCTTTTGCTGTTCACAGCTATAGTGACACTCTGTGAACATGTGCTAGCCTATAGGGCAGAAGCCCAGGAAGATTTGTGGGGTTACAGATGTGTGCCAAATGTTCTGTGTTGTGTTCACCCCTATATACAACCGGTGTGTTTCCATCTCTCCACTTCTGTGAAGGCTGTTCTGTACTGCATCTGTGCTGTATCTCTGTGGTTATTAGTGAGGTTCAGTGCCCTTTCAGGTTTTTGGTTTTTAGAAGTTCTATTAAGAATTGCCTACTCATGGGGCTGGAGAGAAGACTCGGTGGTTAAGAGCACTGGCTGCTCTTCCAGAGGACCTGAGTTCAGCTTCCAGTACCACATGGTGGCTCACAGCCACCTATAACTCCAGTTCCAGGGATCTAATTCCCCCTTCTGCCCTGTGAGGACATTACATGCATACAGTGCACAGACATACATGCAGGTACAACATCCGTATACATTAAGGTTTTGTTTAGAAAACGAATTGCCTTAGCCTTGTCAGGTGTGGGGGGGGGCACATGTTGTGATCCCAAACTCAAGGTGAAGCAGGGGGATAATTTCAAAGGCAGCCCCAGACTATGCAGGGAGAGTATGTTATGGTTTTATTGCTGTTGAGTGGACTAGTGTGCCTCAAGGTCAGTGATCTTTGGCCTTATTCTTGGTCCTTGGACATGTAATAAAAAACTGCCACTTGCTATCTTAAAGGTAAGTTGGCATCGGGTAGGCTAAGAGTTAACCCATACCTGTGCTTCACCGTTTGCCTGTCTCGTGGGTATGGGGAAGGACTGAGTGAGCTGCTTTGTTAGGCTTGTGACTGAGCACTATTACAGCATCCAAAAAGATCGTACTTGTAGAATATAAACTGGAAATTATACACTTAGGTATTTTCCTGCGTAGTAAAAACTTTCATCCCCAGAAAACCTGCATGCAGGTGTTTATAATAACTATTCACGATAGCAAAACCGGGAAGCAAACATGGTGTGAGTCACTGCAGAGCTCACAGAAGGAAGAACTGAAAAGGCATGGGTGTTGTAATCCCAGGGCTGAGGTGCAGAGACTGCTGCTCCCTGCGGGTGGTACCCAGCCAGCAGCCCAGCTCACCTGCTGAGCTCCAGACCAGCTAGAGGCCCTGTAGGTCTCCCGAAACATGGTGGAGTGCTGGTGCCAGGAGTAAGGCAGAGGGAGGGGTGAATAGGCAGAGCACTGTGAGGACCCACAGAGACTGTGGGTCTCCTCAGCAAGACTGCACTGGGGTGCACAAAGCTGTGTGTTTCTCTAATTCTAAGCAGAAATAGCACAACTTTAACCTGCAGAATTGTAATGCATCACACTAATGCAATCAGATTTACTTAAAAACAGATTTGGGGACTGGAAAGATGGCTCAGCAGTTGAGAGCACAGGCTGTGCTTCCAGAGGACCTGGTTCCTTTCCCAGCACCCACATTTGTGGGAGGCACTACACCGACTACATCCCTCCCACTCAGCGCTTGTTTTGGGGGCTATTTCTAGGAGACTGTTTCACAGCAGTGGTGTTCTGGCTGTTACTCTCTTCTCTCCATCTCTTAGCCATAGGAGCAGGACCTGTGATGTCAATGTGTCCAGCTGTGATTTTTCTGTGGCGGTCCCCATTTGCTGTGAAGAGGGACACTTACCTAGGAAGGGTGGCGCTCACATAAACCATGGTGAATTTTCAGTGGCGCTGTAAGATGGTTGTCATTCCCCTGGCCCCTGTCTTCCAGGTGCTCCTTGTGTGGGTACGTGTGCAGCCACCCCCCTTCCTTGAAGTCACACATGTGGAAGCATGCGAGTGACCAGAACTACAACTACGAACAAGTTAACAAGGCCATCAACGATGCAATCTCACAGAGCAGCAGGTACGCCGTCCCAGCCCCCACTTGATTGCTTGGTATAGAGCAAGGCTGCAGCACAACCCACTGAAACTTTGCTGTGTTCTGTTTTTATAAGAGTTCTGGGGAAGTCCCCTGGGAAAACACTTTTAACCAGCAGTGGAGAGAGAGCTGACCCAACCCCCGGCGGTCCAGAAGACTTGGTGTCATCCTCAGAGCTGACTTCCCAGCTGCCCAGTGAGGTCATAGATGCCAGCGAGCTTGAGAAACTGAGCCCCACGGGCAGCAGCTCTGACATCTCAGGAAGGAGCTGCAGCCTGGCTACACCGGGCACCGAGTACTGCGTGCTGCTCTTCTGCTGCTGCATCTGTGGCTTCGAGTCAACCAGCAAGGAAAGCCTCCTGGATCACATGAAAGAACATGAGGGGGAGATCGTTAGCATCATCCTGAACAAGGACCACAGCACAGCCCTGAACGCCAACTAGCTGGGAGCATGTGGGAGGGACCCTCAACTGCAGGCCAAGCTCAATGCTGTCACTAGCTCACTAGACATGGGGAAGCAGGTGGGTGTGACTGTGTTTCAGGGTTTGATTGAGGATAGAGAGCTGTGACCCTGTGTGAGCCTCTTCACTCCTTAGTATCAAGTGTTTACTATTAAAAGCTTGCCATAGTTCAGAGTCTGCAAGTAGATGAGTTGAGAGGGCCATGCGGAGCCACACTGGCCAGCCCTATAGTGGCCAGGGCTGGCAGGAAAAGCAGCAAATGGGACAGGGTCGTTCCCACTGTCTCCAGTGGGCAGCGGGCTGTGGAATAGGCTTCATAAATGGTTTCCCTTGTTGACAAGAATTTATCATAGACTCGTGTAGGGTATAATCCTTCACTCCCTGAACAAGATAGAAGAGGGATCCCAGAGCACATTTGGGAAGTAAATTATTGTTTCAAATTCACAGTGACTCCCCACAAGACTCAACCAAATCTCAGGTTCACAGAAATGGGTGACTTCACAGAGGTTGTATGCAATGTGAGCACACCGAGCCCTTTCCTCCACCAGCAGCAGCACTTACCTGGCAGACTCCTGCAGTAACAGGACGGAGACAGTACTGCATCACTGGGCCATAGAAATAGCTTGAGCTCCAAGACACAGATCTATGGGGAGGCTGGGTGTGGTGGCAGGGGCTGTAATCCACACCTGGAGTTCTGAGCAGGAGATTGCAGGTTTGAAGCCAGCCTGGGCTAGCAGGACTGGGCCTCATGGGGTTAAAAAAGAGGTCAGTTGGAGAGTAAGAGCTGAGTAAAGTCAGCTGTTGAGCTCCCCCCCCCTTAGAGTTTATTGGTGTGGTTACATTTAACAGCAAGACGGTATGACTAAAGTACAGTAAACTTGAGAGACTATTTTAATAAGGCAGGGGTGGATTTCTGAGTTTGAGGCTAACCTGACCTACATAGTAAGTTCCAGGTGAGATCCTGTCTCAAAAAACTAAACAAAATAGTAATTTCAAAAGGTACTAGAGGCATGGCTCAGCAGCTAAGAGCGCCAGCTGCTCTTCTGCAGGACCCAGGATTGGTTCCCAGTAACCACACAGTGGCTCACAACCTTCTGAAATGGGGGGGGGGGGAGGTCTGCTACCCTCTGGCCCTCCTCAGGTACCAGATACGAATGTGGTACACAGTCATACCTTCAGGCAAAACACCAATAAAAAATAGTCTCCATAAAGCAGGGTTGGAGACCTGAGCTGAGCATTTCTCTGATGTACATCTAGCCACGAGAAAACAAGCAAAAGCAAACTCTGGTCAGAAACACCATTTGTTAGCATGGAAGACACTGATAAGTCGTGGGGCATTCGTGCTAAAGTTTGCATCGTGCAGGTGTGACCTCATTAGTCACATGGCTTGTGTCATTATTTCAAAGGGTGAGGCGAACAGGGTGTTAAAGTTTTTGAAGTTCTGATCACTCACATGCTGCTCCATAAAGGAGATCCTGCCTTGCTGCTGATGTAGGTGTTGTTACACACCCAGAGTTGAGGGGCAGCTCTTGGAAGGAAAGGGTCCATGGGTGTTGACAAGACTTACAGCTTTTGTTCCCAAAGTTCAAGTGTCCAGGAAATGAGTTCTTAGCTTTCACATGGCACTGGGACCTGTTGCATGGGGCCAGGTATGTGGAAACAACTTCTGATTTGTTTTATCTTTACCCCACTCACTTTAATGACATTATTTGACTTGATTTCGGATAGCTTTGGGGGGGGGGGGTCATGTAACCTTGGCTGACTTGGAACTCACTTTAAAGACCAGGCTGGCTTTGAACTCAGAGATCCACTTGCCTCAGCTTCCTGGGTGTTGGGATTAAAGATAAGTGCTACCATCCTTGGCCAAGGTAGGCTTATTTATTTATGAAAGTTAATTCATTTCCAATACATGGATTTTAATAAGACAATGAACTTATTGATACTAATTAGATTCCCCTAAATTCGCTCTATGGATTTAAATAGATTTTTCTCTTATTTTCACAATTAAAACATTTATATTTAATGCCAAATGCAAACAATTTCCATTTTCCTCACCCATTGCTATCGCACACACTAGATCTGTTTTCCATTATTGTTAGTCTAAAAACTACTAGCCTTTCCTGAGTTTCTTAGCTTTAATCTGCTAGAATTGTTTAAAAAATAGTAATCACCCACAACATCCCGCCATTCCAGCAGTGTGTCTCTTGAGATGACGCTTCCCAGATTACATGACTGCGATCATGAGTTTAGAATCTGCCCCACCCCATGGGGGAAAATTAACCCAGAGATTCGAAGCCGCCACACTGCCTTCTGTTGCTGTGAGCCCTCTGGCCTGCTACACTGCACACCTAGTAACATTTTGTAGCAAGCTTTAACCAGTCTCAATAACAGAAATGTGTGTGTGCAGTTGCAGACATAGTCAGGGTCACCAGCCAAATCAGTGTGCCGATCACTGCTGTAGGCCTTGGCGTGGGAGCCCTGTGTCTGTCTTCTGTCCTGACCACCTGCAGTTCTAAGATCGGATGGGGAATACTGCTCTAAAGACATTCATTGGGTTCAGTAAACATGAGATGGAGGGGATGGGTGTGGTCTCTATCAATATTATTTTAGGGCTTTATCATCTTACCCCTTGCAGTGACCATAGGAGTCTGGCAGGTGCCCCCACTGGCCTGCCAGGCACATGTTTATCTGGGACTAGACCACGTTGAGCATCGATACCACCTGAAACTTTTGGCCTGGACCTTTCAGTCCTGTTTGAGGTAGCCATTGGTGGCTTTGTAACTGTTTTGGTTTTGTCCTCACAAAACAAATATGAGCATCGTGTTTACATCATCACACCTCCCCAGGGTCTTTGGCTTGATAAATACGAGCAGTTTCACAAACACTTATTTAATCCTTTTTTTTTTTTTTTTAATTGTACAGCAAGGTGCTCAAAGTAATAGTCTATAAATATATTTAATAGAAACGAGTTTGACATTCATGGGCATAAAGATGTGTATTTTTGTAAAAAAAAAAAAAAAAAATGAGTATTGTGTAACATGGCTTTGCTTCTGTAGCCAAAGTAGAGAAACTTCTGGAATACCGTGTAAGAAAGCAACAGTTGACCCTGACACTGTCATTAAAACTGGACAATTGGCATTTGGTCACGTTTTGTTGCACATCGAGCTGCAAGCCTTAAAGCCAAAACTCTAGAGTTGTGTTTGTGGTAGAGCAGGCCACCTGTGCAGAAGAATGCAGCAAGCCACCAGGCACCTCTTTAACTTCAGAAGCACTGTGCAAAATTAGAATAATTTATTTTGCTTTACAGGAGTTTGTCATGTATTGACTTAAATATTGTATTTTGGTAATAAATTTTTTTTAAAAAAACACTTGTTTCTAAGTTTCTTTAACAGCACATGTCCAACCTTGTCTTGGGTTTGTTGATTTAGAAATGTGTGTATAAACCAATAGCTTCTCCAAAGCTGCTTGGCGTTTATTAGTAGGCTCTGTTAATTTACTGAGCTATCACTGGCTCGTGGTTGCTACGTCTCACAAGCATCGTTCGAAGACTCTCATTAGGCAGTTGTTTGTCTCTGGCGGCAGCACAGAGACAATTTCAGTGCTGACCTGTGGATGCTAGCTCCCTTCTGTGATTAGAGCTCTACTGAAGGCCGGGATTGCAGGGTGGGGTGCGCACATCCCCTTCCGTAGTCTGCCACGATTCATTGCAAAGGCCAGGGATGCTTCACCTAACTACAGCACAGTTCGTGCCCTAGAACCCCAGGTCTTCCCTGTTAGAGGTGACTGAGACCAAAGATCTCCTTGATTGCTAGAACCCCTTGTCCTATGCTCTGTAGGATGACGTGGTCCTGTCACTCTTCAAGGATCAAATCTTCACACTGTTGTGACAGTCATGGGAGACCTAGATCCAGATCACAGGGCCCTGCATGGCAGCCATAGTCACATAACTGCTGTGTACTATAGATGGGATCTCTGCACAAAACCAACAGTTGCAAAGATTTAATACAAAAGAAATGTACAGTATCTCGGTAGTTTTATATATTGGCTACATGTTAAAGTATTTGGGATATATTGAGTTAAATAAAAAATGTGTTAAAGTCATTTTCACTGTTAGCTTTTCGTTGCAGAATACCTTAAAAAAAAAAAGGATGGAAGTAACTCACACCTAAAGGCAGGCAGGTCTCTGTAAGTTCAAGGCCAGCCTTGTCTACAGAGAGAGTTCTGGGATAGCCAAGGCTACACAGAGAACCCCTGTCTTGAAAAAGGAAAAAAAACAAAAAAAAAAAAAAAAAAAAAAAAAAAAAAAAAAAAACAGTAAAACTTAGGGAGGTTGACTTGGACTGTGGGTTCAGAGGCTTCTGTCTGAGATTATCTCTCTCTTGCTGTCACACTGCTGTGAGGCAGGATATCCTGCTGGGAACCTGGGAACCAGACTGCAGAGCTCATGGTGGCCAGGAAGCAGAGGGGAAAGACAGGCGGGCAACAAGATGGACTTAGCCAGGTGCTGCTTCCTCTGGGTGGATTGGTGGCTGGGTTGGTTGGAGCCCTAAAGATAGAATCAGTTCTCAAAAGCTCACAGCCAAACCTAACACGTGCACCTTTGTGGCCACTTACATCCAAACCACAGCACACATCGATGTGGTTACTAGAGATCTTTTTAATTACATACATGGTTTACATTGTTTCCCTTGGCTAGTGCTGGTGTAGATGAGAGATTGGCAAACGGTGGCCTCCATTTCAAATCCAGCTCGCCACTTGCTTCCATAAATAAAATTCTATTGAATCTCAGCTGATAAAAAAGTTTTGAACTTTTTTATCAGCTGTTTTCTAGTGTGTTACTGTGTTTGGGCGGTAGATTGTATGACCCACAAAGCCCATATATTTATTAGCTGATACACCTGCTGAGCCCTGGCTCTTGAAATCTGGGCTCTACAGCTACCAGAAATCGAAATAGAAAGAAAGCTGTTTCACAGTGATGGTCAGAGCTGGGTTGCATTTTTTTTCTTTGCAGGCGTGCTGTGTGAGTGGGCCATTCATGCACCACAGCATGTCTTTACACGTCAGAAGAAAAGGCTGGAGGGCGTTCTTCCCTTCCACCTTACTGCTTTCCTGGGATCAGACTTAGGTTGCCAGGCTGCCACAGCACATGCTTCACCTACCAAGCCATCTCACTG